TTTTTTTTTTTTGAGTAATGTTCGAGCGTGGTTGCATCTCCCAATTAGATGTCGCATGTTACCTAGCTGCAAATAATAGAATATAGGACCCAATAAATTTAGAGACCCGTGGAGGTTGATGCAAATATATATAGAATCAGGCTATATACCTCCTCGTTATTAACTCTTCTCTTACATAGTCTCTTTTAAGGCAATTTTCTTCTTTCAAGAACCTTTGTCTCGATAAAGAAGAATTCTAATGAAATATCGATAATAACAGCTGACTTAACGGTAAGTCAGAGTATATAGCGGTAAATGTTACGTTTTTCAGTTTAGAAAATATTTTTAAGTCTGTAGACTGGTTATAACATTAGTGCAAAGATACAAATTTCAATCCTTTATTACTTTTATTTGTTGCTCTTTATTTTAGTTTATTTTGTTGTTGTTGATCGTTTTTTTTTTTTTTTGTTATTGCTTCACCTCCTGCTTATAAAAGAACTATCTCTTGACATATCCATTGGTACCGGAGCTAGCTTGCTATCAACACCATAAAATTTACCAGTTAATCTCATCCTTTTCGGTTCTGGTTTACTGCAATGAAATGATGAGAAAAAAAAAAAAAAAAATAGATGAAAATTTAATCCTACACATTATCATTTTTTCTTCCTTTGCCTTTACTTCTCTTGCTTTTTGATATCGGTAAATAAGCAAATGCGTACGTATTCATCGGGTACACGATTCAGAAATTTATCCCATCGACAAGCCAAATAATCGTTAGAGCGCAATGATAGAACCTCACTTAAGTGATCAAATTGATTGGTAAATTTTGGAAAAGTTCTATAGTTCTCTGCCAGATAAGATATTTTCGGTTTTGGGTAATCAACCTTCGAATCATCTTCTTTCTTTGGCTTAGGTTGACTCGAGTCACGAAGAGATTTTAAGTCCACCTTTTGTGGCACAAGCAGATTTGGTTCGCACAACATTAAAAAAGACAAAAAAAAAAAAAAAATTAAATAAAAAAATTATCAAAAATAATTAAGCAAAAATTTTTTTCAAAAATTCTTATGAAAAGAAACAAATACAAATAAATTTTTTTTTTTTTTTAATTCATTACAACAGCAAAAATATATCTGACTTTTCATTGACAAGACAACAGAAAGTGCACTTAAAATAGACGTACGATAAGCTAGTTATTAGGTCTCCGAGAAATGACCACTCAATAAATCGTCTGTTGCTGATTTGCTAACTCGCACAAGATGAAGAAAAAGACATGACTGTAATAGTAATCTCGGAAGAAATCCAAAATTGCCACATATTTTTATATCCTGCAGCGAAGCATGAGGTCATAATCATTCTATTGAAACTATTACAACCACTAGAAGGAACCTTCAGACAATCCATAATACATATATGCATATCCGATTAATATCAAATGGCGAATTAATTTAAATTTGCCCGTCTGCCCACCTGTGTAATGTTTTTACAAAACTTAATGGTAAACATTCCGCGGACCTCTTAAAAACATACGTCAAATGTGGCAGAATATTGCAAAATGGGTGAAGTCGGTCAAATAACACAGTCCCCCATAAGCTTCTTTTTCAAACCTTGACTGTATTCCTTGACTTTTTTATGATCATCAAAAATTTACTTTCAGATCAATATAATATTCTTGCTAGAGAAATCCTTAAATAGGTAAGAACGTTACATTCGGGGTACCACAATTCTGTGCCCTTTACCCCAATCTGTCACCAAATGCTTTTAATTATGCCTCACACCATTTCTGATACATGGTACACTAATGTATGTAACACCCAGAGAGACTTAAAACAGACCCATCCTTTATTACACCAATTGATTTAGAATCATTTTCTCAATCGTTCTAAGCTAGTCTGGCCATTTGTCCGTCTTGATTTCTTGTGTTTAATGGTTGGTTGTCTGAAAATATTTGGGATCGGACCACTATTTCGACCATTTCCAATATAAGATTTTATTTTAAAAAATCATTACCTGAATAACTGCGTTTAACGAAAGGTAGGGTAAGCTATTTCATGGTGGAGCGCGTCCCACTATAGTATTTTGGCTTGTTTAGACAAAAGAAACGAAATGAGAAGTGATTGGCAATAGGATGAGATTTCAATAAGCGTCAGTAACTTAGATTATCGGCTACATTTAAACCAAGCAAAACAAACTTGCAAACAGTCCGAGTCTAAGGCGCCGTATTTGGGAACGATAGGTTTAAAACAGTGAAAGGATTTTCACATATAACGACCGCTACTCTTTCTTACACCCACGAACGCCTATTTTGAAATAAAAAACTAAAGACTAATTTAATGCTTTTGTATTGCTACGGAAATGATTAGGTTAGCTTGGAGTAATTTCGGACAGAAAATTGTTATCTTGAAAACGACGAAATTCGCGTATGTCCACCCATCTCGAGCAAAAGCAACCAACGAAGTTTTACTCGTCCTCTTCCGATTGCAACTTGTTCAGATCGATGCCGTCGTATTTGGCAGCGGTTTACAGAAGTTAAAGATATGCGACAATGAATCTTTGGCTATTTCGCTTCCGAACTACTTAGCTGAACTAATGTCGCCAACCGACTTTGATTTATTCACAACAGATTTTCAAAAAACCTATACGTATCTTGGATGGGTCTTCTTTTAAAAAATATTTCCCAAAAAATCCATATGATTGTACTCATGTGCAATTCCTTCATTTTCTTCAACAATTCAGTTTATTAAATACTACAATAATTTTTAATATAACCTTCGTAAAGTTGTTTTTTTTTTAAATTTTCTTTCGATATCTTTACATTAAAAAAATTTTTTTTTAGCAATTTTTTACTTTGTTCAACTTTTTTGTGCACTTGTAAAATGGCTTTGATTTTTCGCTAAAAGCCGTTAGCTGGTTATTTCCTTTACAAGTACCATGTGTGGAGAGTGGAGAGAGCACAGAGTTGCTTTCACTGAATTGCGATGCCGTCGATGAATGAGAAATTTCCTCGTAAAATCTGTTAAATGAGAAATTTCCTGGTGAAAACTGTTAAAGTGGTAGAAATTGATGAATGAGAAATTTCCTCGCGAAATCTGTTAAATAAGAAATTTCTTCGCGAAATCTGTTAAATGAGAAATTTCTTCGCGAAATCTGTTAAATGAGAAATTAGTAATTTATACTAAAATTTGTAATATTGAGCTAGCCATAATATCTAGCTATGACAAAATGAATGGTGATGGACATACAAGATTCAATTGCGTCATCAATTAATTTCTATGTGACTGTGGATCACATCGTGATATAATAACACATTTTGTGAATTTTGATGTCATGACTTACTCCAAATGTTACTTAACGTACTTTTATTTTTTAAAAAATTTTCGTTATATAATAATAAGTAGTTAAAAAAAGATAACTTCATAGTTCAAATTTGCCGCAAAGGGGCTAACTTTGAAAACAACGTAAATTGATAAGTGGACTTAAAGTTGACTTTGCAAGTTGAACGAAAAACTCCTTTTTTCTTCAAATTTTTATTTAAAACATATTATATTATAAAGCCACGTGCACAAGTACGTAATTAATTTATGTTACAGAAATGTTTCTAAAAACTAAAGTACTATTTAAGAGAAAAACATTTATATTACAATTACAGGAATAAAAGCAAAACTGAACAAATCTTATGCTTTAAAAATAAAATAGATTAAAATAGAAACAATAAAAAAAAAAAAAAAAAAAATTGGTATTTCAAGGATACCAAATTTAAAAGATCCAAGAGGAAAATGCACCGCATAATCCTTTCTTTTAACTATTTCGTAAAATTGAATTAATTGTAAATTTTGAAATTAAATATTTAAGAATTCAAGATTTTTTCAAAAATTGATTATTTTTGCAATTCGGCCATGCTTGCCTCGAACAGTGCTGTGTTAATTTTATGCTTCAGAGAAATTAAAATTTCTTGTGTTTTAAGACCACGCATTTCATTAGCCACATATTCACCATATGTAGAAAAATCGTCACGTATCGCCGATGAAAGTAAATGATTGGACGTCAGATTGCTACGGACTTGAATTCTCGAGGAATGTGGTGAGGGTGGATTCGATGTTGCAGTATTAAGTAAAGTTAGATTACCGGTTGTTTGAGCAGGACTAGTTGCATCAGCAAGTATGGTGGCCGTATGATGGCCAGTAGTGGCATCGTAATAGATGCGCTTTGCTGCAGTGGGTGCATTAGGCGATAGCGTATGAATATGAGGCTGTTGTGAATGGTGATGGTGGTGATGATGATGGCCTTGAGTATGATTTGATTGCGGATTGTTATCATAATATTCTGCATTATCAAGCACAGTATCGCGTCGTTGAATTTTAATGATACGCGTAGGTATAGGGTGAACAGTTGTAGTACCAGAGGAACTATGAGCCGTCATCACGGTTGACACACCCATAGTAGATGTGGTAGATCCAACTGTGCTTGTGCCTTGATAAGTAATCTCTTCATCTCCTGATGTTTGTAAATTAATTGTATCCATATTCTCGCCAACATCCTGTATATGATTTACCTCTTGTTGGTCACTTTCTACACTGCTTATTTGCAATTCACCGGCATTACTATATTCATGTTGATGATGCTCGAGGGGCACAGTAATTTCTTTTAAAGTCATTTTCGGCTTTGATTCCTCGATTTCTTCTACATCCTTAGTTGTCTCTTCAATAAGTTTTTCTAATTCGTGCGTTCGACTATTAGCTGTGGAGCAACCATTTTTGGCGGTAACTGTTTGTAATGTTATAAACTCCTCATTGTCGTTGTTTGAGCCATTGCCTCCCGTTCCGCTACCAATACTAGCATCATGCGATAACGATTCCCTTATTATATACTTGGTAGTCACGGTGCCATCCTCCGTAATTTCGCTCTTGATGCGGCCCTTATTCGATCGACATGCTTTAGGCGAACTGAGAAATTGCAAATACTTGAAACCGAACCATTTTGAATGGTAAGGCTTTATAACTTTCATACGATTTATCTCACGATGATATTGCGTCCGTAATGTATGGAATTTCTTTTCAATTTCCGAAATTGCTATGTTACCGCCAAGACTCTCGCTTACCTCCATTAACAACTTATTCTTAAATTCCTTTTTGCGATAATCATCATGTGTCATGTCCCATAAACCGCGTCTTTTCCGATATTCCTGTATTAGTGCCAATGTTTTCTCTCTGGACCATTCCATATTCAAAATTACAAAATTTTTATAAATTTCAAATAGGTGTTGTTTATTTATTTTTTACACTTGCAATTAAGTTCAACAATGTTGCGTGTCTTTATATGATGACGTTTGTTGATCAATTCTTCGATCTTTTTTTTTTGCTTTTTTTCTTAAACTTTTTTTTAACTTTCTATTTTTGTATACATTTTTATTATGTCTTACTTAATAGCTTTTTAATTCGAATCTTATAGTTTTAATAATTTTAATTTAATGAAATAAATAAAAAATTTTTTCTGTATACACGAATTAATGTTGGTGAGCGCTATGTCGGTGTTGCCACTTGCAGTCGATTAAACATGTATGTATACATATGTAATGTTGGGATTCGTTTCATGTATAGAGCAGGGCTGGCAATTATTTTGTTTATTTTATAGTGCGTTCACACTCATACATTGATTTCATTGATTTTGCCGAATCATCTCATTTCAAATTACGTTAAACCTGACATTGAATTCAAATCACTGAGTAAATAATTTTGATCTTTAATCCACACATGACTATTCGACTAAAGGTACAAAAAAATGAAATGAAAGAAAGAAGGAAATATATAATTTATTAAAAAATTACAATAAAACAATTTGGAGGAAATTTGCAATGTGTTTCCTTATTTTTAACGTCTTTTTGTACTTCCATTTTGATATTGCTTATTAAATTTAAGACACATTGTGGTAAGGATAAATTGATTGGGCAGCACATCCTTATCCAATGACAGTCATTAATTTTCTATAAAAAGACAGACGTAAACAAGGGGGTTGGATTTTGGTATTACATTGTATGGCGTTAGCTAGGGTCCATTTTCGAGTTTCGAATTTTTTTGCTTAACGTATGCGCAATAAGTGCGAGAAATGTCTGCCTGATTTGATCTTGATTTCACCGAAATTGAGATTTCCTCTTAATATCAATTGATATTTTTCATATGACGAGGTTGAGAATTTGGTTGCTGCATATTAGGAGAAATTATGAAAAAATGAGTGCAATCAATGAAATCATTGTCAGTGTGACGCACTAATGATGCTAAAGTTATTAAACAAAGTTTTGACATGTACGCTTGTTTTTTGCGTCCGGAATTTGGTATTATATATACTTTTTGACACTACCACATTTAAGGCATCAAATTATGTCTACAGAGTTTTTGTCAAGTCGGATTCGGAACGGAGAATGTTGATGGATTCGCTTACGATTGCTAAAAATCCGTTAGCTTTCACCTTTTTTCTGATGTACGATGTCAAATTTATTTATAGTTTTTAGTTTGGAGTAGCCATGAGCATCTAGCCTGTGATGACGTTGAATGCGGGCCACCGCGTCTAAAATTTCAAATTTTTAATAGACTCTAATATTGGGCTTTACATTTTTTTATACATTCTAAGATACGTGTATATATATATATATGTTAATGTCTGTATTGGATAATGCAAGCCCTCATTCTAAAATTATCAGCATTTACCAAGAAAATGTTATGGAATAGGCGCTTGCTTATATTTTGATCAGAGATATTTGTTGTTGAAAATGATAAAGTAATGCGAAATATACATGCACACTACGGTAAATTCGATGATACATGAAATAATATTTTTCCATTTAGTATTACTTAGTTATTCAATGTATATAAACGGTAATCATGGAACACTAAAAAATTTCATTTTCGATAAACAATACTTTTGTTATCTGAATTCAAGAAATCTTCTGCTGAAGCCCATCAAACACTTTGTTACCTGAATTCAAGAAATCTTCTGCTGAAGCCCATCAAACACTTTTAGAATGTTATGGTGATGCTACTCCATCATATCCCAATTGTCGGTTTTAGTTTCAACGGTTTGACATCACGCCGACAAGGAACGGCCTGCAGAGCCAAATAGTTCGAAGGCAATGAGTGATAATATTTATTTGACGAAAACCTAGCTTAAATTCAGAAAGAACTTCTAGACGTTTGTATGCGATCCGACGTTGAAAACGATCCAAAAGGAAGGAAAATTACTATTAACGAATTGACTGAAAATGCCATTTCGAACAATTTTAACATCGCGGAACTGAATGAAACGGTTACTGCAGATGTCTAACGACGTCAATTGAACAAATTGAACGAATAGAAAAATTCTTGGCAAATGCCCAGCAATAGCGGTGAACAAGTACAAAGTTATCCAAGAGTTAGTTAAAAATGCACTGTTGCAGCCCGAATGGGAAGCGACCAAACTGGATCTGCTCAGATGGTTTGTATGCCATCCGTAGAAAAGAAGTGCTCTTCCTTTTGACTTGCTCTTGAGCAAAGGAATGCTCTTTTATTAAAAAGACAAAACTTCTCCCAGTGCACCCCACAAAAAAAAAGCAATTTGTGAGAAAAACCTTTCTCTAGATTATAGATAGTCAAGCCTTAAAATCTTCTTCGCCGGTCAAATGGTAGTAAATTGAAAAAGATCCTATTAATATGCGAAGGCAGATTTAGAATGATCGGAAAAGTAGACCATTCCAACCGTTAGCGTGTAAGTGCAGCACGCACTCAATATACTGTAGCCGCGATGTCTCGTTCTCTTTCCTCACTTCTGTCTGATCGTCGCCTTGTTAAACCTGTATCGGACATCTCCTAAATAATTGATCAACTGAGACTTATTCCAAGATTCCTATATTCCGTTTTGTACCATTACGTAATACGTTTCCGTTTAGAAAATTTTCTGTCAAAACTTCTGCATTCATCTCCCCTTGTACGTCTCCTGAATAGTTTTGTACAATTTTTA